ATTGCTAAAGAAGCTGGTTGTTCACAGAGTGCTGTATCCAAGCATATTCATAGAAAGTTGAGTGGAAGGAAAAAGTGTGGTAGGAAAAGGTGCACCAGCAAGAATTTTGGGGAGCTTCACAAGGAGTGGACTGAGGCTGGCGTCAGTGCATCAAGAGCCACTACGCACAGACGAATCCTAGACATGGGCTACAAATGTCGCTTTCCTCGTGTCAAGCTACTCCTGAACCAGAGACAACGTCAACCTGGAAAAACAACTGGACTGTTGCTCAGTGGTCCAAAGTCCTCTTTTCAGATGAAAGTAAATTTTGCATTTCATTTGGAAATCAAGGTCCCAGAGTCTGGAGGAAGAGTGGAGAGGCACAGAAACCATGTTGCTTGAAGTCCAGTGTGAAGTTTCCACAGTCAGTGATGATTTGGGCTACCATGTCATCTGCTGGTGTTGGTCCACTGCGTTTTCTGAAGTCCACAGTCAACGCAGCCATCTACCAGGAAATTTTAGAGCACTTCATGCTTCCTTCTGCTGACAAGCTTTATGGAGATGCTGATTTCATTTTCCAGCAGGACTTGGCACCTGCCCACACTTCCAAAGATACCAAAAGCTGGTTAAATGACCATGGTGTTACTGTGCTTGATTGGCCAGCAAACTCGCCTGACCTGAACCCCATAGAGAATCTATGGGGTATTGTCAAGAGGAAGATGAGAGACACCAGACCCAACAATGCAGATAACCTGAAGGGCTCTATCAAAGCAACCTGGGCTTCCATTACACCTGAGCAGTGCCACAGGCTGATTGTTCAATTAATTTTTTCTTGACGTGGTACTTTATGCGGTACCAATGTATGTAACTGAATATAAAAAATACCTTGTTTGATTTTAGACACGTATACTGTTTATACAGTATTATTGTTCATGCAGTACATTACTGTATGTTTGTACAGTATTGTTGTTCTTGCAGTACATTACTCTGTATTTCATGCAGTATTATTATGCAGTACATCAATGTATGCTTCATACAGTATTGTTGTTCATGCAGTACATTACTCTGTATTTTATGCAGTATTGTTTATGCAGTGCATCACTGTATGCTTCATACAGTATGGTTGTTAATGAATTGTTGTTAATGAATTGTATGGTTGTCAAATGGCCTACATGTAAAACATCACTAATACAAATATGAACACACAGTTAACAGTTACTACTTTTTAATAACTTTATTATCATTATTATATTATAGCCCATAATGTTAGTCTTGATGTGTTCTCACGCTTATGTTGGTTTATTTATTATTTTGTTTTATATTTAGCCCTGAATCTTCGGCTAACTGAGGATTCCAAATCTTCATGTAAGACGACATTTTACAGTTTTAATTTTACAAAAACAAATAAAAATGTACAAAACAATAAAATTGCGTTAGACCTCTAGATGACAGTAAAGGTAACAGAAAACAGTAGCCTATGTGATATTTCTGAGTTGAGATATTAGAGTTCATTAAAAACAAATAAAAAACGGCGCGAGTATTGAATTAAAAATGAATTGGAAAAGGACAAGGGTTGTAAAAAAACAAGTTAGCACCACTGGGTGCGGCTAAAAAAACAGCCATACTGAAAGTGAAATCAGCTCTGTGTTTCAAAAAGCCTGTCCTTCATGCTTCGTTCGGTTGTATTCTCCTCGCCTTGTCCATTTGAAGAACATTTACACAGTAGGTTTTCTCTGCTGTTTTGGTCTGAATCCTGTTGTGTTATATTTAAATATTCGTTAGCGGAACTATCTAACGTTAATAAGCAACGGTTTAGTAAACCTAATATAAACATACCGCTTAGAATTAAAGCCAGTGGCATTAAGATTTGGGCACATTAATGGGAAGTGTTATCTCTCTCTCTTATGCTTATTTGTGAGCAGTGGCTTAACATATTTGGTATAGATTCTATTAATGCATTTCAAACACGGAAAAATTCACGTATAAAACCCGTTTGTGCGCATGCGTTAGCATAACTAGTCATAACTAGTCATGAGAACAATACACTTTAACGCTAAAATACATCAAGTTGTGTTAACTCGGCCTCTTGATGTGAATTATTGTTTATTCTTTAATACATAAACCAATCTTTTTTTTAATTTAGTGGTATAAAATGAATACTTTCTTACGCAGTAAATTTAAAATATTATAAATGGGAACAAAAATGTTATCAGCTAGGAGACCACAAACAACAGATTATCAGGGCATA